GATACAGCAGATCCATCCTAAAGCAGGCCAGGAATGTGCAGGATGGAGGAGGCCGGATGGGCATTCACTTCTGGCTCATTCATTGGGCCTTGACTCTGGAAGAGGCACTCAGGGTCACCCCTGGAGGTTTGGCCCATCTTGTCCCCACACTGGGCCCTGTTGCCCCTGCCATTCGCCTGCCCCTTGCCAAGTCCCGGCATGGCTTTGGCTTCCCCTGCAGTTAACAGGTGTCTCCTGATTTCTACGAGGTTGAAATAATTGTGTCTTTTGGGTCCATAATCCAGTATTTTGAGCAAATAAAATTCTGTCGGTAGTTTCCCAAGGGAGGAAAGGTGCCCTGGAAGTTTGTAAGATGCTATTAAGTGCTCCATTAGTGATACTTTTTATTTTATTTTAATCGTTACATGTGTGCTTTACTGAAGCAGGGTAGTGTGGGATTCTGAACTCTACCCATTTGTCACCAACCGGCTGAGCCATGGGACCTCGGACAAGGTACTTAACTGCTCTGGGTCCCTCTTTCTTCACCTTGAATTTTGGAAAACCTTAGATATTAGGAAAACTCTGCCTAGAAGTTCTAAAGCCCTCCTTTTATAGAGGAGTCACTGAGGATCAGAGAGGTTAAGTAACTTGCCCAGGGTAACCCAGCTGGCCAGAGGCAGAGCTGGGGCGCCATCCGGCTCTCCTGACTTCCAGGGCTTTGTTCTTTGCACTGTGGAAGCTGCATCGCTTTGCCTGTCCCTCACCCTGGAAGGCCTGGGAGTGCCACCCTTACTGGTTTTATACAAGTGAAGGAGGAAAGGTATTGGGAATGGGTTCTGTGAACGCCCCTCATACCCTCTCAACATAACCACAGCTAACGTCTCCTGAGTTTTTACCAGACATTTCTCGGTGCTTTATTTATTGATTGATTGATTTTTATTGATTTTTAGAGAGAAAGGTAGGAAAAGGGGGAGGGAGGGAGGGAGGGAGAGATTGAGAGAGAGAAAGAGATAAACATCGATCAGCTGCCTCCTGCACACCCCCTACTGGGGATCTGGCCCACAACTCAGGCATGGGCACTGACCAGGAATCGAATAGGCCACCTTGTGATGCACTAGACGATGCCCAACCAACTGATCCACACTGGCCAGGGCACCTCAAAGTGCTTTAGACGGAGCAGTGGTTTCCAGAGTGTGGTCCCTGGGCCATCAGCATCACCTGGATGCAGGTAACCCTCAGACCCCCTGGCCAAGCCCTGACTCGGGAGCTCCGGGGGAGGGCCCAGCTCTCTGTGCTAAGAAGCCTCGCAGGGGTGTGGTGCATGCTCGAGTTAGAGGGCCACAGGCTCCGGGTCCTCAACAGCCCCTTGAGGGTAAGCAGTGGGATGTCCCTGAAATACAGGGCAAGTGGCAGCAGGGAGGTGGAGACCAAGGTCCCCTTCTGCTGCGTGTGCATCCAGTAAGCGTGAGTAAGCAGCTCACCACCCGTACCTTCTTGCACCCAAGCATCTGGTCCTCACAGCAACCCAACAGGGCACCCATTTTTACATGCATGTTACAGATGAGCCAGTGAGGCTCAGGGACATTAAGTGCCTGCTTCAAGGTCACACAGCGACACAGCGCTGAAGGTGCAGCTCAAACCCAGGTCTCCTGACTCTCGTTGGTTTTCATCACTCCCTCGTCTGGGCCTCTGTCCCCAGCTGTGTGCTTCTCTGGCTGCCACGTGACAGCAGCTGCCTCCCCACCTGGCCCCTGCCCAGAAGGCTGCAGCTGCGGCCCAGCATCACACTGAGCCTAACTTTTCGCCATTTTTAAATCGGTTTCCCCTCTCACTCCCACTCCTGCTGTTCCCCTGATAGGAGAAGGTTTTCCCTAAATTGTGCCCCCAGGCAGAATGCCCTGCAGGGTGTACCAGGCCTTCTGGGTCACTGCGGATGGTGTTGCTAGGGCAACAGGGCCGGGCAGAGTGTTGATGACTTTTGCCAGGGCCACTGTTCGTTTGCCTCCATCCTGTAGTTTGGTCTGAATTTCTTTTGGGACAATGCTTATCTTCCCCAACTGGCATATATGTGAAAACAGCCCTAGGGGATTTTTTTCTGTCACATTGGAAACTCCAAGAAATGCTCTTGTCCTACCTGAGTTCTTCCTGCGGGTCCTAAAAGTGACAGCAGCTGAGCCCAGCAGCATCGGGAGCGAGCCTAGTTCACAGCTACGGCTCTCCTACCTACACATCCAGGTACACATTCACAGCGTACAAGGTGGGCAGGGCACCCTGTGCAGGATGAAGGGTGTGAGCGGGAGCCTCCATGGGCCTCCTTAGAGAGAGCCTTGTGGTCCATGTGTCTGTGGAGTTTGCTGAGCTCCTTAAACTTTATCCGTGCAATTACACATCCCCATGTGTGGCACAGGGGTGCACTCCTGCTTCGTTTCACTTTAGGGATAAGCACTGTATCTGTGAAGGTTTCAGAGTCTTCCCCTCCAGCCTCCAGGACAGAGGGGATGTGAGGAAAGGGCACCAGAATTGGTCAGGAAACTTGGCTCATTCAAAACGTGTGGAAGCCAGTTGGCGTGGCTCAGTGGTTGAGCATCAACCTATGAACCAGGAGGTCACAGTTCGATTCCTGGTCAGGGCACATAACCGGGTTGCAGGCTTTATATCCCCAGTGTGGGGAGTGCAGGAGGCAGCTGATCAATGATTCTCTCTTCATTGATGTGTCTATCTCTCCCTCCCTCTTCTTTCCACTCTCTGAAATCAATAAAAATGCATTAAAATAAAAACAAAGGAGTGTAAGGGGTGTGATGCAGGGCCAAAGGCCTGGGCAGGGCAGAGGGAAACCAGGGAGGGGTGCCAAGCTCCCTGGAGGGAGTCACGGCAACCTCTGGGGAGGGGTGGGAGGTGGGGGCCTTGTGAAACCAGCAGGAACTGGAGGTGTAGGAGGGCCCCTGGCAGGAGCGGGGAATCTGACCTGTCCTTGCCGCCCTCATTGACCGAACTCCTCCAGAACCCAGCAGTTACAGGAGCCTGCAATTCGGTCTATAAAGGCCGGGCTCCCCGGCACAGAGGAAGCTGGGGAAGGGTAGAGAGAGGGGGCCTGGAGGGGCAGATAAGAACATCACCCCCCCCACATCCAGGCCTTGTCACCAGTAAAGGCTGGTGTGACATCTCTCGAGTGCAGGGAGGAGGGCTCCTGACCGACCGCCTTCCTCTACTTAAAGAGGGTTTCTCTCGGCAGCTCTTTGGACCACTTGGGCAGGATCGTTCTTGGCCGTGAGGGCCGTCCTGTGCGTTGAGGGATGTTGAGCAGCATCCCTGCCCACCCCAAGGAGAGACGAGCAAAAGGACTCCAGACATTGTCAAAAGCTCCCGGGGCCAGGGAGTGAGTGAAGCGCTGTCGGGGCCCAGAGGCTGACGGGCGGGACGGGCCTCTCCCTGAGCTCGAGGAGCAGGTGTGTGCGGGATGGTGAGCCCGACTGCAGGATTTCTGAGACAGGATCCTGACGAGGCTGGACGAGGCTGAGGTCCAGCTTACGGCGCTGAGCGCGGGTGGCCCGGGGGAGGGAGGGCCATTGGGACTGAAGAGGTCATGGACGTGGTGTTGGATGCTTCACCCCGGGGTGGTGAGGCTTCCCTTGCTGGTGTCGCAGGTGGGGTGTCATTGTTCTCAGAGCCCGAGTGGGAAGGGCCAGGGTCTCAGGACTGTATTCTGCAGTGGCTGACGAGGATAACGGGGAGCCGGAGGCCCTGCCATGGGAGGGAGGGCTGTGGGTAGTTCTGACCATGCAGAGGCACCTACGGAGCACCCTCCATTATTTAAGTGTCAGGTGCCAAAGGGAACATGCTTATTCTGTGCTTCTCCCTGGACAGAACGAGGCTGCAGGGGGTCAGGAGGCTGGTGCCCAGGCCAGGAAGGCCTTGCTTTAGTAGAAGAGACAACATGGAGAGGGTGAACCCTGCACTCCGGAGTTGTTTTGAGAGAGGCTGGATGGCTGCCTGTAGGGGGTGCCCTGGAGCAGGACTTTCCAATCTGGTCAAGTCCTGCCCATTTTATTATAGAAAAGGCTAACTGTAGAGCACCAGGGGGGAAACAGGCAAAGTTGCTGGCAGCAGAGGGTGCTGAGCCTGAGGGGCCAGCCCTGCCTGGTAGCAGGAGAGCTTGAAGAGATGAGTACCTCCATCGCCTGGAGTTCACGTACGGCACACCAAGCGCTGAGGCACCCCGTTTGGGAAGCTCGGTGCTCAAGGACGTTTGTGCTGTGCCTGGAATGCAATGTGCCCAGCACCGTATTCTGCTTTTGGCATCGTTCCCGCACATGCTCCATGACATTCTGCAGGATGTGTTATGCCTCTTACGTGACAGGGAGTCACCTGACACTGCACTACCTGACACTACATTTGCAGGGTCACCTTGGGTTAAAGGGCAGAGCCAGGATTCATTCATTCACATCTGGGGCCCATGCTCTTGACTACTTAGATGATAAGATCCATCAGGCTCCCTTCAATCTGCCAGTCTTCGATTCTTTGAATGATACCGAGCTGTGGCCCATATTGACCCCTCTGCCCCTCTGCCATGTTATCAAGTTGACCCAAACCTGAGACAGTTCATGGGAACATTTCACAAGCTCTTGGAGCCACCTCTTCTTGGTCTGAGATCCCCGATGGCCAGCTCATCCTTTTGGGGCATATTTTCTTTCCTCTCTCTGGTTGCCATCTGTCATCGTCTCCAGCTTGGGGGCAGGGAGCTCACTGTTTGTCTGTTTGAGCCAATTGCCATGTCTCTCATCCCCAAAATGTAATTGAAAAGAGCCTTAATGGTTTCCAAATGATGATAGCTCCATAAACCGATTAAAAAGGCTTAATAAAACTGTCTCGAGTTATTTTCCAGAGCTGCAGCCTGTGTACTTTGTTTTCTGATGATCCCAAGAAGAAGTAAAGGCCATTTTTCTTTGTCATGCGGTCGGAAGCCCTGGGAAGGCCCTTCTCCATGGGTCTAACTGCTCGCCCTGTTTTTGTTTGCTTCCCAGACGATCCACGTTGCTATTGTCTGCGCAGGATACAACGCCAGCCGGGATGTCGTCACCTTGGTCAAGTCTGTCCTGTTTCACAGGTGAGCGTGATGGCTACTTTCTGCAGGTGTGGCGATCTGCCTGTGTGTGTTTCCAGGGGGAAGGGTTAGATCCAAGCACCCTTTCATCAGACATTCAAGCTGCCATGAAGATTTAACTTTTTCCTGAGACCTTGGGGAGACTATCTGTGTATGTAAAAGGCTAATATGCAAATGTCCATCTGACCAGTAGCTATGATGTGCACTGACCACCAGGGGGCAGACACTTAACGCAGGAGCTGCCGAGCTGCAGTGACTTGGCAGCAGTGGTTCTTGGATGACACACCCCGCCGGAAACCAGAGAGGAGGGAGCCCAATTCCTTGCAGGGCTGCGCGATTCCACCTTTGGCCGTGGGTTATGTTGTTGCTGGGGCACTGCCGGCCCTGAATCTGGCTTACTGCACACTTGCGTTTACGTTCCACACCCTGTATGACAGCAACTTTGCAGCGTGCCCTCTCGCACTCTGGGACTCCTCGGGGCATGTCGAAGAGCCAGTTTTGGCCTGATCCTCACAGGCCAGGCCGAGGGACCTCACCTGCCAGAGGGTCCCTGTTCACTCTGCAGATGCGCTTCAAGCCACAGCACCACTATAGGTGCAGCTGGCCTGGGAGAGACTGCGGGAGATTGGCCCCAGGATGTGTCCATCCTGTCTCGCTCAGTCCCGCCCCGCCGCCACCTTCTAATTAATTTCCTTTCAGTGTGCACGAATCCATGCACTGGGTCACTAGTTGTGTTAATAATGTTTAATAGTAGCGATTAGGTGCTGTCTCAGTGTTTAGAATTGCAGCTTTTAGACCTGAAGGGACCTTCAAGGACACCCCAAATTTAATGCTCCAGTTCTTCATCAGCTTCCCTTGCCTGACAGTCACCAGACCTCTCTGTGTACACGTCCCTTTTGCCAGGTTGTGGCTGAATTGTGTGTGTCGCCCCAAAATACTTTATCTGTTGGAGCTCTAATCCCCAGTAGCTCAGAATGTGACTGAATCTGGAGATAGGATCTTTAAGGAGGTGATTCAATTAAAATGAGGTCAATCGAGTTGGCCCTAATCTGGTATGACTGGTGCCCTTATGGGAAGAGATTAGGACACAGACTCACACAGTATGAAGACCATGTGAGGACATGGAGAAGACAACATCTACGAGCATCTACAGCTAAGACAGGAGGCCTGGGAGGAAACCAACCCTGCCGACACCTCAGTCTTGAACTTCCAGCCTCTAGACTGTGAGAAATTCTTTGTATTGGTTAAGCCACTCAGTCTGTGGCATTTTGTTACGGCAGCCCTAGCAAACTAAAATAGGTTGCATTGTCTTTTCCATTGTAGCCTGGCCCACCTCTGGCCATTTCTGACCATTAGAGAGTCCCTGCCTTACGTGAAAGTGCAAAATTCTAACCTACAGATGATATCCATGGCCCCAGGGGGTCCACATGGAACCAGCCCCAGGAAGGTCAGATGCCTCTTCCTCCTGGAGATGCTTGCCTTCCTGAGTCATCGCTTCTTCCCCTTAAATTCCAGGCGTTGGCCTCTAATTTTCCCCGGGACTTTCCTTCTCTGTGTTGAGTGATACCTCGGCATCCTTAGGGTCTATCCAGATTGAACCCCCAGCTCCAGCCAGTGTCCTTGGCTCTGTTCAAAGAAACTTTCCAAGGTTTGGATGAAGCTTACCCAGAGCTTTAGCCAACAGCATACAAATGTATCAGGTGACGGGGTCAGGATCCGGAAGGTTCTCAGCAGTAGGAATAGCCACAAAAGTCTCCGCGTTCAGTTGAACAGAGATGAATGGAAAGTTTGATGCTAGAATCCAACTTTCAGAGGCATCAGCAGAGACAGGAGAAATGGGCACCCAAGCGCTGCCAACCCGGCACGAAACAGGGTTCATCTTGGGTTCAGCCCCCCATCCAGCCCATCTATTAGAAGTGCCTCAGGATTCTCCCTTGAACATCTTTTCCCACTCTACCCTTTCCTCTCCTCCCACTGTGACTGGCAGAGTTCGGGTATGCTTAGTTTCTCTGGCACTAGTCCTTCCCGTCTCCCCACAGCCAGGCTCCTAAAAGGCCAGGATGGTATTTCAGACACGAAAATCTGGCTTCTCAAAGCCCTTCGTTGGCTTTTCCTTGTCCAGGGGAGAGAACTGAATCTCTTTACAGTGTCACACAGACCATCCGGATGGGATGTCATTCCCAACGGTGTTCCCCCTCTCCTCCCCTTGCAGATACTTCACGCTCCGGCAACACTGACCTGGTCGCACCCCCACCTGCTGCAGGCGTGCCCAGGTGTGCCCTGCCTGCTGTCTGTCCTCATTCAGCGCTGTCTGCCCATTTCTGCCCTCTTCCTTCCTCTCCTCCCACCCTAACTTGCAGATTTGCCTTACTCTTTAATACTCCGCATAGGCATCATTTCTATTAGACAGCCCCCCTGGAGGTGTAGGTCTAGGTTGGGGCTTGCCTCCTATAGCCCATAATGCCCTGTGCATCTTTCTGTTATTATTTTTATTACATTGCATTTATTTATCTATTTCTGTTGTGCCTTTTGTAGTAGAATGTGGGATGTGTGCCTTATTTTTTTCTGTCTTTCTAGTATCTTAGCCAAGTACTTAACACACATTATATGCTCCCTCAATGTTTACTTGGTTGACAACTGAACCTAGGGTACTTCATTCATAAATAACCTGAAGATATATTTATTCAACCGGTTAACACCTAGTTCAGTTTCACATTTATGCCACTGTCTTGCTGACTGATTTTTAGCAGGTCATTTGAACTCTTTAGACCAAGCATGTCAAACTCAAAGGCTAACACGGGCCAAATAAATGAGGCATGCAGCCCATGGGCCGTGAGTTTGACATGCTTGCTTTAGACATTAGCTCTTGTGTCAGTTTGCTTTTGCTGCCGACCAACTCACCCTAAAACTTATTTGGTTGAAAAGAACATTTCTTTATTAGCTTGGCTCTTTGTACTGACCTCACCTGGATGGTTCTTTAGCTGCGTCCCCCCCCCCCCCCCCCCCCCCCCCGGTGCCTGCAATCAGTCAGTGGGGTAGCAAAACATCCCTCACTGCCTCCTGGAGGGGGAGGGGGTTGGGAGAAGCTAGCAACATGATCCTTACACCCTCAGGGGTGGGGCTCTCAGCTCCTCCTCATCGCCCTGTCCAGTTGGCATGGTGACTTTGGAGAAGGAAGGAAATGGGAATGGCCAAGTGGGGCTCTACCCCACATCTTCCGAGGTGTGGCGGGACGCCCCTCCCACACCGCCGCGGCTCTTGGGTGCTTTCTAAGACTCCACGTGGTTCTTCACCTTCATTGGCCACTTGAAACCAGGCGTTTTGGGACTGAACATTGAATTCAATGAGTGGTAATCAGCCTTTGATGTAATTATTCCTTCTCTCCACTAAAGAACTCAGGTCCCTCCCCGATCGGGGAAAAAAAACGAAAAACCACTCTTTAGAGAAGCCTATTTGCATGGCCACAGACCGTGAATTACGTTATTTCTCAAATTTATGGCCAGTTTTCAGGTCACAGAACCTTCTGGTGGTCGTGTTTGGTGTAAATACTATTGCTGTTGCTTTAGCTACAGATCCGATAATCCCGATAGTTGCCGAAATGGTGAGAATTCTATTGAGTGCAAATTCTTACGCCTATGGTAACGACACAGCAGCATGTAAAAAATGTAATGTAAAAATAGCAGTCGTTGCACCATCACGGGGGCATGGAGATTTGAGAAGAAAGCACCTACTTCTGAGGTGTTACGAAAATTCTGCACCCCACGTCAGTGACCAAATAACCACTTCCGCCCTCCCACCCAAGAAATTTGACCAATGAGAATGGTCCTGTGAATTGATAGGCAGGGGCTTTTGAGTTTAGATATCGAGATAGCAGGACTTTTGAGAGGGTTTTCAGCTCAGAAAGTCCAGCTATAAATAGTTTTCTTGCTTCTAGCGCACGTTACAGGGATTAACACACACATGATGATAAAGCACTTTGACAAACGAGGTACCTCCTAATGGAAAGAATAATATAATAATAGTAGGGCAGGATGGCTCTTTCGGCTTTCACTGTGAATTACAGTAATTAGATTTGTTTTCCAGACAAGGTTTTCGGCAGATTTTCATTGAAGGCTTGCTTTGTTACTCGAAATCAATGTTACTTCTGCAGTCTGCCCGCTGATGGTAGTAGGCACACTGTATTATGAAAGGTAGGAAAAGAGTGATACGGACACTCATACACATGGACACTGGCACTGAAAATGGCTAGGGCAACTTTTTGGAAAGAAATGTCATAGTAGAATGCCCAAGACCATGATCTGACATGACTACGTTAGGGGCTCTGTCTTAAAAGGCTAATCCTAACGCACAAAGGCTTTTGTGAAATATTACTTACAGTCAGAAAAATTTGAATAGCACTTATAAACAGTAAGGTTAAATAAATGGAACATCCTCTGACACTAAACCACGTTCTTGGTTGGTTTTAAGAAGGACGTCATAACATAGACATAAATGCTATTTTATGATACAAAATAAGTGACAGCAGAATTCAAAAACGTATGCATGCCCTAGTCAGTTTGGCTCAGTGGTTAGAGCGTCGGCCTGTGGAAAAAGAGTCCCGAGTTCGATTCCAGTCAATGGCACATACCTCGGTTACAGGCTCCTCCCTGGCCCAGGCCCTGGTCGGAGGCAACCAATTGATGTGTTTTCTCTCACATTGATATTTCTCTCTCTCTCTCCCTTTCTTTTCCACTCTCTCTAAAAATCAATGGAAAAACATCCTCAGTGAGGATTAAAAAACAACGACAAAAAACAACAACATATGCATAGTATCATTCCACTATATAAAAGTGTCACATACACACAGATACACATCTACCTGGTGTAAATACAGGGGATAGAAGACTAGCAGAAAATAAATTTTAAATGGAATTTTTTGCATATTGTGGTTGGGGGTGATCTTGCTTTTGTTTTCTCTTTACATATATTTTGGTCATCTCAGTATGCAGCCTCTATGGTGAAGA